TGCAAATTAGATTTGTTTCTGTACAAAGCAGATGCACGTACATACGAAATAGAAATGTTTTTATTTTCATCGGACACACAGATAGAATCATCTGAGTTTAGTTTATTGCATTTTCAAAGAACGTATTTTTAAATAGTTAAATAAAGACTGAATTTGACAGACACACGCAATTACATATGTACTGAAAAATTGCCGTTTGTTCCGATATTTCAATAACTGAGGACGATAATTTTATCCAAGTTAATAAGTACAACAATCTTTCCTTTTTGGTTGTTGTTGTTTCCGACAGGGTGGGTGTATGATGTATTATTGTCTCCAAACCAAATTTGACAAGGGATGACGGAAATTCGTTCCATAATACATCATACAACAATCTCTTAGCAACAAATAAGACTGCTATAGACTTTTAGGAATTGGGCGTGGCATCGCCCACTTTATGACTACAAGGTGTATCCGAACTACTTAACAGATTTCTACCAAACTTGGTTCAATTATTTCATTAGCCCTAATTCAGCATTTTATCGAAAAAGTTAGAAATCGGGGAAAACCCCCCTACTTATCATGCAAATGTTGTTTAGAGAAAGTTGAAATGACGATATTTCATACTTGCGCCGGGTATATAAAGTTCGGTTTCGAACTTATACTTCTTTACTTATTTAATCTAATTATTATTGTGAATAGTTAAAAATTGTTGGCAGTATAGTTGTCAATGAAAAGAAAGACCTACAAAGAAAGACCTACATATTATCATCTTATTAACATATCGATAGCTTAAAGTGAAAAGTTGCGAAGTCTACATTTTGTGAAAACTCATATTTTGATATAGGAAGCAAGGTAAATTAAAAACGCATCGTCTCTAAAAGTATTAACTAACGTGCTTGTTTCATTTCTTCCCGTTTATATTCAAGTAAAGGGAAATTTATCAAGTCCAAATGAGGCGCAGAAAACTCTATAAGCTCACAAAAAATTCAAACACACCAATTCATAAAAAATAAAGAAGACTTTAAGGGTTTTATAAATCGAAGATCTGTGTGAAAATGTAACCTTATAGAGCTCTATAAATCTATTTTATTTTTATTAATAAGGCCATAAATCTTTTAATTTGCAACGGAACCTTTTGCAAAATTCTTGAAGGAAATCTTTTGAAAAGTTGTTTTTCCTCCCATGTAAAATTTCTACAAATGGACTTTTCACTCTAAGGCCCAATTTCAGATGGCCTACTTAAGTAGATATTGTTGATTAACTTCCACTAATCATTTTCAGATCATACATTTAATCTGCACTTAAATGGCCAATGTTGGCTATTTAAATATGAGATATGCAACCCTGTGTTTGTACGAAACAACCAAGATTTATTGGTAGGTTGTTTAATAAATCCCACTAAATCCCACCAAAAAACAATCAGCTGTTTAGCACAAAATGTAAATAAACAAACAAGCAAATGCAACAACAATTTCGAGGAACAAGCAGCAGTGCTGCCAATTGTTTGGCATATTTAAACAAAGTTGATCTGAAACCTAACAAAAGTTAAATGGCATTTAAATTACAATCCACAATTAAACTTAAGAGCCATTTAAATATTCATTTGAAATTGGCCATAAGCTAATCATATGAATGCCTGCACTACACTATAACTTTGTCCTCCAAAAATTATCAACATTATTCACCCCTATTGAGAGTGTCGACTAGTAGTAGATAAACAACTGTTAGTCGATTATCGATTATCCGTGGTATTTTCAAAGTCGTTTTCTCGTTCAATAAGTGCGTGTGAATAGTTTACAGTCGCTCATCCTTCTACAAACAAACAGTTGTAAGAGGATGAGCGATAAAAAACTATCCACAGTCGCTTGTTGAACGAGAAATTGACATTTACAATACCACGGAATAAGAGTCGTTTATCTACTAATATTCGACACTCGCAATAGGGGTGTATTACTTCTTTCAGAAATACATATGCCATTGTTACTCTGCAAAAATGCTGTTGACCAGTGTTATAATAGAGATAACTTTTGTAAACTAGTTAATTTGTATGAAATAAATTATTAAATAATTGTTTTTATCTGGATCGCTTCCTCTTTGCATAAAATGCATAAAAATGGATTGGATTCCATCATTGATGTTTTAAATGGCCATATTAGTGCAATCAAAAACGAAGTCACATCCATAAATCATGCAAATTGTGAAAACAATAAACATATTTTAGATGGAGAGAATTCTACGGATACTTCCAGTGAGGTTTGTGATATAAACATTATGGATTCTGAGAGCTCTGTTGCTTTAAATATCTCACACTCTCCTATTACTGGAAGTTCTGCTACAGCTGAAAACTTAACTTCATGTTCGCAGACTGCTCTAAATGCTTCGAATGCTGACCTGCGCTTGCCTATTGGTGTTGTTGGTGAAAACACATCTACATATTCCAATGCCGCTCTAATTCAATTGAACTGTCGTTGAGTGCGGACGTCACAGTATACCAGTAGAAAAGGTTTTTGTTGTTGTGGTTGTTAATTTGGTCCCCATAAAGGACTTGAGGGTTGCCAGCAACTGTTTTGCCGCATTCAGGGTGCTGTGCAGCAAAATAATGTGGTGAAAAATTTTAACATCGGATAAATGGCGAGAGAAATATTGTTGTGCGCTTTATAAGTAAATATGACCGTAATAAAATGTTGTATACTTCAATACAACTAATTACCGCTATTTTCGAAATTCGAAATGATCTTAAAAATATTTGTAGTGAAATATGTACTTTATGAGTTAAAAGGAAACTATCTTATATGTAAAAATATATTCCGATTTACTTCAAAAAAATGATATAAAATGTTATATATATGGATCTAGTTTTAATAATAACATCTAGTACTTTCATCTACATTGCTTTTGTTGTAAGTTTTCACGCTAAAGCTAAATAATTTCACAATTTCTACCCTATTCAACGTTTATATTTTAATAAAATGTGATCAATTACTTAAGAATATATAATTTCCGATCAAACTATAACACTGAATGCTTGAGAAACAATTATTTAAATCAAATGATCAACAGTGAACGCACTCGGAGCGAATTTTGGAACACTGAGCGAATTATGCATATTAACAGTAAATTATTTCTAACTTTCTACCTTATTAAACGTTTATATTTTAATAAAATGTGATCAATTACTTAAGAATATATAGTTTACGATCAAACTATAGTACTGAATGCTTGAGTGACAATTATTTAAATCAAATGATCAATAGTGAACGCAATCGGGGCGAATTTTGGAACACGGAGCGAATTATGCATATTAACACTAAATAATTTCTAACTTTCTACCGTATTATACGTTTATATTTCAATTTAATATGACTAATTACTGAATAATATATAAACTCCGATCAAACTTCACTACTGAATGCTTGACAAACAACATTTGAATCAAAAGATCAATAGTGAACGCACTCGGAGCGAATTTTGGATCTCGATATAAAATATGCATGTTAAGACTAAGTAATTTCTCATAAGCTTATGTTTTAATATAATATAATTCATTACTGAAGAATATATTAACTCCGATCAAACTATAATATTAATTGTTTGACAAACTATTTAAAACAAATGATCAACAAATAGCGCGCTCGGAGCGAATTTTGGAACACTTCATAAAATATTTACAGAGGAAGTACATTATTTGGTAGAGATCAAAATGTATTTAACAAAGTGCGATTGAATTTGACATTGCTCTCAGAAGAACCATCCTATAGTCAAATTGAAAAAAATTTGTATGAATTTTGAATCGTTTGTTTATATTTTTTTACATAATAGTATCTTAAAAGAGAGCCGCACTGAGTTGTCAATAACACCTTGGGCCGTATGCATAAAAACTAAGCAATTACTTTTACTCAGATTTTCATACCTTTCACTTAAATTTATTTGAAAAAATTGAGTGAAAGGTCTGAAATTTTTAGGAAAAGCATTTGCTTAGGTTTTATGCATACGGCCCCTTGTTTAATACACCCATGATACAAATATTTAAAGGTAAAACCGCTTGCACAATTCGTTTTATAAAATTGAAATTTTGAGAGCAACTCAAATGCCAAATAAATGTAAAACAAAAAACAAATATATGAAAATATTCAAATTGTCATTTATTTGAGACTGATAATGAGAATGTATTTGTGAGAATGGAAATTTGAAAACATTATTGTAATGTTACCAAACTTTAAAAATGTTCAGGCTGCCTTTCAACGGTTTTACCTTCAGATTTTTGTATCATGAATACACCTTAGTCGAGATATCACGAACAAGTTTTCCTTTATTTATTTTTGCTTAAAATCCTTAAATATGTATCTTGATTTTTTTCTGTAGAATACATATTAATTTTTTTTTAACGATTTAAAACAAGGGAGGACAGTCGGATCTACGTAACCAGAACGACCTGAATGCGCATTGAAATCGGTTGTATTTTTTGCTAAAAATTATTTATTATTGAGATACAGTTTCGCTACTATTTAGAGATTTCTCGACATACTTTTTCATATTACTGTTATTTATTATTTTTCTTATTAGTCATTTATATGTTTAGGACTTACTGTGGGCGCTTTAAGATTCATTTTGTAAATATGTATGTAAATATAAAAAACAATTGCGAAATTTTATTTTAAATTATGAATTTTGTTCGTGCAATTTTTTATGTTTAATAGTTTTGAGGACATTTTTTGGTTCTGTTGATTCTTTTATTGCATGCCTTAAACTTTTTTACTTTAAGTTATAATGTTGAAGATATGCCTTCTGCCTTTGTCAAGCACTTTAGCTAGGTGCGAGAAATTTAGTATATGCGCGTAAGAGCATAGAGTAGGTATACGGCTGTGCTGCCGCGATTCTCCAACATCTTGTCAAAGGAGAAAACATATTGGTGGCGGAATCCATCGTAGTCCAATTTTTCTTAAAATCTACGAAAAAGCGATCACTGAATCTGAACTGCTATGAACGTGTGTATTCAAAGCAAGCGCTGCGTTCGTAGCTATTCGACCTTAATAGCATTTTCGTAGATTTCACGAAAAATCGGACTACGATGGATTCTATGAAGCCTTGATTAGTTCGTGCGATTATGACTTATGGATCGATTATGGATGGGAGCGGAACCTCAGTTGGGTTGCCGATGGACAGCGCCACTGAAATGAAAATGTTTTTTATTATGAATATATTTTTTAAATGTGTGCTCTGTCCGTTAAGAATTCCAGCCATGTGTGAAATATCGTATGTGAAGCCTCCGTCTGACTTAATGATTGTCAAAGGCATGCCAGAAGTTGTTTCATCATATGTTTTCGGCCATCGTCTTCTTCGAGTAAGTTCATCGATACCAAAAACTTTACAACCTATATTTGCCAGCAGCCCTTAGTGTTTTTGCCAATGACATGGCACTATTGCACTGTTAATAACCAAATTAAGCCGCAGTTGCATTCACACGTGATATAATAGCTAGTGTCGGCAAGCTGTGGGAATGCCCAGGAGATGGCGTTTGTTCAGCTATCGAAATCATTACACCGACGGCGGTGGGCAGCTCTGCTGGAATATATTTACCACAGCAGTGGTTGCGGCGTTTTGTTCTGCAACAATAGCCTGCAATGATGACATGTCATATAATGTCGACGAACAAAGATATATAATTTAAAATGACTAACCTTATTCCCGGCCGATTTGGGAGACCACCCTTGGTCACGACCAGAACGCATTTACCAAGAGGAAAAACCGCATGGATTGCAGTAGTTCTTGCAATCACCGTTGATGATGCTGTGCTTGTAATTAATAGTCTGAAAATACAAAAAAATGCATTAATGAAATCTTATACACATCAAATAAATAAATTTCAATAATTTGTTTACCATTTCACAAACCGAATTACCAAGAAATAGAAACTCACCGCGATGCGATACAGTTTTCTTGGTAAACAGCACAAGCGCTCAGAGCAAACTAAGCCGCAAAATTATTTTGTGAAAAATAATAGTTGAAAAGAGTTTTTACACATGATTATCACATGGACTCATAAGTGCAAATTATTGTGATTATTTTTAGTAGCATATAATTGTATTATCTTAGACTTTTTTTAAATGTTTTCTAATATTTATTCTTTTGGGACGCAAAAGCAACCATGCACTCAATTTCTTGTGGGGAAATTTGGTCCCCATAAAGGACTTTCACCACGAAACAGCTACAAAAACAAAAACCTTTTCTACTGGTATACTGTGGCGGACGTTCTTTTACTTAGCTCCGTCGTGTTTTTTTATTTTCAGTTTAGTCACATACATACACACATACGTTCGCGATGCCGTGTTGTGTGAATTGCGGCACGCAGTGCGTGGATGGTGATTTTGCTCCGTGCGGAATTTGTTCACAGAATTTTCATTTGAATGGCGTAAATCTAAATTCAGCATGTTTAAAACTCTTAAAATCAAACCAAAATCTGCAATTTAAATATGACACCTGCTGATGTGTGCCCATCTCAACGCGCTTTGCTAAACTTAAAACTGCATTGTGTTCCTTAAAAGGAAATTAAATTTGCTTTTCTTGGGGGGAAAATCGCCCGTACGTCTGATAACCCGGAAAATTCTCTAACATCAAATGTGGCTAACAACAATGTTGCTAACGTCAAAGCGAATTATAGTAATGTAGATGATAATGGCAACTTGCGAACTACGCGCTCAAGATCTAAGGTCGCTGACCTTGGTAAATCGCCCTTGAAGCTTAGTATCCAGCTCTTAAGAAAACGGTCAAGAAAAAATTGCCATTATTTCGCGTGTGTGTCCAAGGAATTTTGACATTTTTTATACCTCACAGCCTGTTGCCTCACTCTTTCCTCAAGAAATAATGGAACGGGCATATATTTCTGTTGCAAACCTGGGTTGCCTTGTGCTCTTTTTTCACAAAAAACTTTAGAAAACCGTAGTAGAAGGCGTACTAAATTTCTGAAGAACTGCGTACTGCCTTAAGGAAATTTGACTCAAGAAAATTTCTTAGCTATTTCTTGTACGTCATTTTATATGGAGTTTTTGCTTTTCTTAAGAGCTGGATACTAAGCTTGAACCTGAATTCTTCTACCTCTATTCCTGCTGCCACTGCTTGCGCTTGTACCGTTGTTGCTGACCCTCGCCCAGATAACACTGTTGTTGTTGCTGCTTGCGCTACTCAGCCAACTGAAACAAAGGGGTATATTTATCTTCGTTTGAGCCGAAAGTTACTGCTGAGAATATCATAAGCTATGTAGCTAAGCACGCGAGTATTGACAAAAATTCTCTCTCTTGCTACATGTTGGTTAAAAAAGATGACCCAGTAGGGAAACACAAACGTGTCGACTTTAAACTGGGTGTCCCATCAACTAACTATCAAAAAATTTTAGATGCGGCAATATGGCCAGCGAATGTAAAAGTCAAGCAATTTCGTTTTTTTCAAAGACAAACAGTTCAAACCCAAACAGTATAACAAGTGTGATGATACTGCTAAATCTAACGCTGAACTTAAATTATACTATGAAAACATTTCTGGTCTAAGAACAAAAACAAAAACAATTCTTCAGTTCAGTGCACAGGAGGCTTACGACGTGCTTGTCATTGCTGTACGTTGTGTTCCGCAAAGATCGCGATTTCACGAAAACCGGCTACATGAGAGGAGCGGTGTTCTTATTGCCGTTTAACGGCATTTTCGTGCATTTTCAGTGAACCTGGGCAATGATGATTCGTTGCTTGATCAACTCTGCGTTTGCGTCAAGGACTCACGATCATACGGATCTTTATATTTAATTGTTTCTTATATTCCACCTAACAGCAACTTTGAGTTATACAAAGCCCACGTGGATAATGTGATTTAAATGATAACCATCTTTGTGTTCTGGGTGCTTTTAACCTATGTAATGTCAGATGGTGTAGTAATTCTGCTAATACCGGTCTCATACCTAATAACATTGTTTCCAATCAGGAAACCTATTTTGTTGACAGTTTCTTAAGTCTAAATCTAAAACAAATTAACTCTCTTTTTAACGATTTAAATAGACTGTTAGACCTTATTTATATAAGTGATAATATTAATTTTTGTATTACGAAATGCATTTCACCTATTTCCGATGCTGGTATTCATCATGTGCCTTTAGATATTAAGCTAAAGTTTTATGAGTTCTCAGCCATAACGCCTAACGTTAGAAATGCTTTTAATTACGCATGGTCTGATTTCCCAGGTTTAAATAACTCCCTTTTAGAGATTAAATAGGGCGAAATATTTTTTGGCTTGGATACTCAAAGTTGCTATTCAACATTTAAGTCAATAATGAATGAAATCTGTTTAAATAATATACCATTGAAAAAAGCGGCCTTATAAATCACCGTGGTATAATAGAGTTTTAATGAAACTAAAAAATATCAAAAACAAGTATCTAAAGAAGTTCAAATCAACTGGTGTTCATTTACTCTTTCTGAAGTACCAGGATTACCATAAGGAATTTAAATCTTTAAACCGCATGCTTTACAAAAATTATATACGAAACACCGAGCAGAACATTAAAGCTAATCCGAAATCTTTTTGGAATTTTGTGAAATCAAAAAAGTTGTGCGCAAGTATACCTAGTTCGGTAATAATAATAATAATATTAATATTAATAATAATAATAGATTGGAGCTTACACATATGTTAGTGTTTAGCCGGTTCGGTAATGCTTGATGACTAATTAGCCAATACCCCTGTCGATGCAGCTAATTTGTTTGCAGAATTTTTTATGCCAAATTATGTACTTGATGATAAGGAATCCCCCGATTTTTCTTCTGAAGTATCTTCTCTTAATCTTGGTACCTTGCGTATTTCAACCGAAGATATTATGAAGGCGATACTTTCTCTCAAGCCTTCTACGCAAACAGACGTTGACAGACTCTAGGCTTTTTAAATTAAAAACTGCCCAGCGTTGTCAATCCCTTTAAAGTTAATTTTCAATAAATCGCTATCTTCAGGTACTTTCATAAACGACTGGAAGTTAACTACCATTACGCCTTTTTTCAAAAGTGGAAGTAAAAATGACGTGCGGAATTATAGGCCTATTTCGAAACTTTCTAACGTCTCAAAACTTTTTGAAAGCGTTGTTAAAGACCAAGTTTATTTCGCGGTCAAGTCCTTAATCTGCCCGAACCAGCACGGATTTGTCTCCGGCAGTTCACCTGTCTCTAATTTGATGGTTTTTAGTGGATTTTGCATCTCGTCGTTTTCGGCAGGATTCCAAGTCGACTGCATATATACTGACTTTTCTAAGGCCTTTGACAGAGTGTCCCACAATATCCTAGTAAATAAGCTAGCTTGCCTGGGTTTTCATTCCTCTCTATTAAAATGGATTAGTTCGTATTTGTATAATAGGCGCTGAGTAGTTTCAATTGGTGGTGTATTTTTGAACCAATTTGTTGCTACGTCAGGTGTTCCCCAGGGAAGCATTATAGGCCCTCTCCGATTTGTTCTTGTTATAAAGGTAGTTGCTTTTCCTTTTCAATCTATTTGCTTTACGCCGATGATTTGAAAGTTTTTTCGACTGTGCAGGACACAGTAGATGCAACGAAACTTCGAAGTGATTTGAATAATCTTCACTCATTGTGTCAAAAGTCACGCCTTTCCATGACCATCAAAAAATGTTTTCACATTACATTTACTAGGCGACATATATGATTCAATAATGAATGAATGAAATCTCTTGGTGTGAAAACGGTAGTAGAAAAGTACGAAAAGTAGGCAATTAGTACTGAAACTCTTTTTGTAAATTCTAATGTATTTGCAGAAAATCGGGCATTTTAAATGAAATATTGAACGTAATACTGATATATCTACGTGAATATGTAATTTATGTGCTATTTAGCTGTATAAAATCTGCAAAAAGACTCAAAATTAATATAAAACTACTATGAGGTTGATGAAAATATCCAATTTAAAAACAATTTATGTTTTCATCAGTTAAATATGCTCCATATTCATATACAAATAAACATATTGCACAAAAGCTTATACTTGTATTTCACTCCAAAGCTATACTTTTTCCAAGTAAATTTGCAAAGAAGCAACACGGTGCCACTGCTAAGGGAGCGGTGCGAGAGAGATAACTGTCAGTTTATCGAACCTTGTATTATTGAATCATGGGCGACATAATGCCACTCCCACGCTTTACTCCATTGCTAACTTCGTTCTTAATAATGTTTTGGAAACTAAGGACCTTGGGGTAGTGTATGACTCTAAGTTGTCCTTTAACAGTCACGTTAATCTTATCATTCCTAAAGCGTACTCGGTTCTGGGTTTTCTTCGGCGTAATACCTCAAAGTTTTCAGATCCACACACCTTTAAGCTTCTATTTACCGCTCTTGTTCGTTCTCACTTGGAATATGCAGCTATTATCTGGCGTCCATATGACCACATTTCTATGAATAGAAATGAGCGAGTTCAAAAAATTTACCTTAAGTACGTTCTACGCCCATTACAATTTAACATCTCTCGAAATGTAATTACCGGCATAACTGATTGCCCAAGTTTACTCGAGTGGATAAGCTATAATGTTCCACAAAGAAATCTGCGGAATTTCTACCCTTTTTATGGCGAAAGCCATAAAACTAAATATTCAAGTAATGCTCCTATTTCTCGTGCACTTCGAGAATTCAATGACTTGTCTAAAGTCTCAGTTGATTGATTTTTCTTTACCCAGATCTGCTTTTGTAATGGTTTTAAACTCTATTACTCAATAAGTATTTTTAATTTGTCGTTAGTCTGTAAGGTACTTTGTACTGTAGATTTAATAAATAAACAAATAAATAAATAAATGCTGACAATGCCTGGTGTTGTTGTTGCTGATAACAAAATTTCATATTCGCCTGCTACCTAAAATGCTGTGAATACTGACCTGAGATCACCTACTATTTAGTCTCTTTGATG